TTTTTTATGATTTGAAAATTTTTCGATTTTTTTTTCTGAAGGTTCATGTTTCCTTTCAGGTGCATCTAGCCCTCTTTTGCACATTCACGAAGGTGAATCCCGCAAAATGGCCAACGACGAACCTGGCTGTCCTGTCAAATAAGTCTGTCTCTGGCACCGGCGACTGTCTGAGCATGTGCGTCGAAGTCTACCCAGAGTGCGCTATGGCTTCGATCATGATGCAAAACTCAAAGGTTAGCGTTTGTTCTTACCCCAAAGTAAAACCTTAATATTGTAAAGAGAAAATGGGATGGACAGCGAGATCACAGATAATGAGCGCAGAAAAACAGAGGCTCTCCTTGACGAGAGATCATGAAGACTTGGGAGACGATGTAGACCATATGGTACTACCGCGGTGGCTGGACGAACCAGACTTTGGCGACAAAGAACATCGCTTTCAGGGCATCTTTAGGCACAATACGCCTCGCATCGCATTCTCTACGGCCCCTGCTTCTTTTCAGCATATTCGCATCATTTCGCTTTCGCTTATCCCTTTGTGTTGTGCCTTTCGTGCAGCTTTACACATTAGGTAAGAGTAGCGGTGGTAAAAATTGAACTGCAGTGAGATAAGCAGAAACAAAAGATAACGTCGCTCATCGCAAGTAAAAATTGAAAGTGGAAGGATGAAGTCAGTAAAAGCTGGAGCACTGAGGTGTTCCACCTCCTAAGCAGGGCCATCAACCCGGTGCGTAGTTTCCAACAGGGTGGGTCGTGTTTGGTTTTGCAAAGGTCGCATTCAAAATTTTCAGAAGGGCTGCGGGTTGGAAAATACAGGGTCGTGCTGCAGGAGAGGGCTGAATGGGGTTGCATGTGGTGGTTTTTCTTTGACGATTTCGGAGAAAACCTCACGAGATCGTGAAACGTAAAAAATAAAGGATTTGCCACTTCTGGGATCAAATTCACCATCCCTCTCCCTCGATAGCCTTTTGGAACAAGCGGGCGAAGTTGGAACGTGAATACTGCTCCTAGAATTATAATGCTGTAAAACAGCCATGTTGGTAAGAATGGGAGTCTCGAGTCGTATGGAGGTACCCCCTTATAGCTAGTGCTGGTAGGGCGTCGTGACGAGCCCCCTTAAGAGGGGACCCCTTGAAAGGGAGCGGGGCGGGTCGCAAATTTTTTGGATGAAACAACAGAGAGTTGATCCTGCTCCAGACTGCTGTTGTAATTGAAAATGTTTTGTTTTCTTCGCTGAAGTGTTCCTGTGTTCCAGTGAGAGATGCTATCATTAACCGTGGTGTTGACGTAATCAATGACTTCACTTGTTTTTTGAGAACGTCAGCTTGTTCTTTAAATGAACTTGTTTCAAGTACGAGTGCAACATCCTGCGCAAAACCGATCGCGAAGTCACATTCACATACCTTCCAACCATTGAGCTCTACAGCTTGGAAAGAGAACTGGTCAAGGAGGAATGCCCATTGGCGAAGCACATGCTTCCTCGCTCACATAAAATAGCATGAGCTGATCGGGTGAAACTCGCATCAATTGAATTTCGCTTCTTGGACTGTTGTTCAGCCGAATAAAACTGAGTTTATCCCACTGTATATGACATACTTGATACAGTACATTGCTCAATTGAACATTACGTTTTCTCGGATTCCAGAGAGAATGTTCATACACTTTTATTCAAAAAAACATCAAATGCATACGGAAGACATATTATAGCCGTAGTTACGTCAGCAAATATATAAATAAGAGACACTAGTAAATTACAATGATTTAATGACGTCAGATCTGGATGGCAACTCACTTTGCGGCTCGTTTCCCTGAACATTAATCCGTAAACGACAATAAAAGTATGCGATTCTCAGTGTACTAATAGTATTAACTATTAAGCAGTTGTCGAGATTTGAACGATTTCTAGTGACTCTTAATAGAGCCTCCTCAATGGCCTTCTTATGGGACGATCTTCTGGCTGCTGCCATGGAGAGCTGATGTAATTTGCACAGAAGCTTGCTAGCTCATCTCTGGCGCAGCTACGCTTGCTGCTCAAGCTTGACAATTGCTCGCGAAGTCTTCATTTCTTCTCGATAACGAAAAGCTTGGGCCTAACTCAGTGTTCCGACGTCCACACGTGCCTGCTGTGTTAAAAACCGCTAGTTCTGGTCGGATTGGTACTCAAGTTTTGCATGAATAGCACACTAAAAGGAATAAACAAAATATCCGTTCATGTTATGCGGTGTTTTATCATGATTATGCTGTCGAAGTTTATTATGTAATAGATGAACTATCACGAAACTAGTAGTAACAAAAGGGGTGGTGACCTAAAAGATAATACGTTATTGTTTTATGTTCGTAAGTTAAGATGAGAGACAGATCAGCAAATCAACTTTCTCGAGGAGTGAAAAACAGCTATATGATATAGCTATATGACTTATGGTTAGGAAAGAATATACTCGAAAGTTTACCTTGTTTGCTTTCACACGTCCTTCAGATTATCAACGACCAATTCACAGTGCGTCGTAGGTAGTCGGCGTAGACGTCGTCCCACTTATTCGAGGCGCCAATTTTACCGAGTCTGTGGAGCTGTGATAGCGGCCTGGCATCTCGCTTAGTCAAAATCCCTCCACAGATGGAGATTCAACGTGAAGAACGTCATGATTTTTGACCTAGTAGCCGGAAAAAGCGCTTGTAGAACCTCCCAGATAGAAGTGGGGGCATGGGAAGGAGTACACTCTTGATGGAAGACAGAAGATCGCTAGCAACTTGCCTAGTGTTGAGAGATATTTTGACATTGGTCACCGCACTTTGCGTAGCGATCTTCCGCGCCATCGAAACCACTTATTAGTGAGCCTTCAAATGATTCTAACACTTCTGTCAATGAAGATCGGTGGAGTTTCCCCGATGTCACCACGCCCAAAAAATCACACTCATGGAAGAAAGTCTTCTGCAAGCCAGGTGATGTTTCAGAGACCTGCTGTCAGCTTTTGACATCAAGTGTTGCTAGTTTGTACGGCTGGTAAGAGGTATAGCGACGGGAATGTTGTCGTTAGCTCAGATAAGGTCGGAGCTGTGGGGTAACTTAAGAGGCCCAGGAAGCTGTTGCAAATTTTTCAGCCGATTTTCTTTGGCTTGTAGAAAAAAGCCTTGAAAGAGCCAGAAACATATGAGATTCAACTCACTCGTCACGATTCAAGTAAAGGTCGAGCTGGCAAATGGTGGAATGGTGAAGAGGGAAAAAGCTCAGATCCGCGAAATGGGAGCTTTTTTTGCACGTCGATTCCGGGCTACAAGAGATTCTACGGTAAGTGACGTCTCAACCTGAACACCTTGTTCTACTTCTACAGGGTGGGCCAAAATTATGAGGACCGCGTGTGCGCGCGGTCATATCCACTTTTTTCCGACTCTCCATTTTCATCTCCTTTTCTGTGCACTATGTGAAGGGTACAATGTCTTCTTCCTAATGAAACCAAATTTCATGAAGTTCTCAAAACTAGTGAAATAACTACATCACTTTACGTCAGTCCTCAAATTGAACTCACTAGGGGCTCTGGCACGTTACATCTAGCAGCAGTTCAACGTAACAGGGAAGCTCTTATGGGCAACAGTTCAACGCTTCAATAAGTTCGGAACCACCATAGATGGAAAATGTGGACATTCGAAGGTTACAGTTACCACCAGGACAATTATCAGATGCAGAAACTCGTTCTCCCCTTGTCGACTTTCGTACACCCAAAATGAAAAAATTGATGTGAAAACCCAGCCAGACACCCAAAGACTCCACATCTGTAGTGAATAGAAAGTCACTCCAGTACTTTACTCGGGAAATTTTATAGGACAGAGTCTCCCGGAGATTTGCTACTAGGAAGTGTCCATTTATTTTTTTTCTCTAAGCTTCTTGTATGGCACACCCTGGAGGCGAAGGCAAACAAAAAGCCCACAGAACTTTGACCCTTTTGAAGCAACAAAAAGCCCCAGAACTTTGACCCTTTTGAAGCCGCCGCGTCTTTTGGTTTTTCTGGAGCATCATTAATCAAAAGATGACCATTTTATCGTGAAGTTCGCCGTTAGTAACGAATTGATTAGCCTTTGTTCTGCGGTCAGCAATTAGAGGAACACGCAAAAGTTTTATTTTTAGTACATGTCCACATATCTCTTCACTTGACTTTTAGCCAATTTAATCTTTTTGTTGATACATCCTGTCGTAGCTGCATGCTCCCATTCCCAATTCCCTTCGTTCAAGTGATACATGCCCATGTCGTAGAACATCTTTGTATTCTTTCCTTTCGTGATGAATTTGACCGGTATGGCGTGCTTCACCAGTTTGCGGCAATGCATTGGCTGAATCACTGTTTAATTTTAGAGGATTTCAATGTACATGGACAGAGACTCGTGAAAAAATTGGAACGACTGGCTTAAACAGTTGTTTTGAGTACAAACCCACATCAATTCTTTCATTATAGGCCACAACTTTGGTGTGTCGGTTTGTCTGTGTGTATTTCGTTCTGTCCTTTCGAACCAACCGCTAACAGAACCAGGGAGCTAAAGGGCCACTCTTCGTGCTATTAATGCCGCAAATGTGACGACATCCTTAACTCTTTGACGACAATGGCATCTACCGATAGGTGCTACTATGTTAGCCGCGTGGAACAATGGCACCCAATGGTAGGGTGCCACCTAAAAATTTCCTTCATTGCGCATTCAAACAGTTGTAACACCCCAATAATGATAAGCAAGCTCCATAATATCTATGACTAGCACGGCTTAAGAGAAATGTTTAAATATAAAGGATAAAGCATTTGCCGTTGATCAATCCCTTTGGGATGCGGCACGCATTCTACTTCCATTTGTACATTCGTAGTGGCGTTTGAATGCGATGTGGCCTATACAATGACTTGCGGGGGCCAGCCGATGTACAAGTCAGTGTTTTTATCCTCCCAGACAAGTCTGGTACCAATTAACCGACCCCGGAGGGATGGAAGGCTTGGTTGGCCCGGGCGACTCACGACCCAGGATTTGATCCCGGACCGCTCGCGTGGTGAGCGCGCCACTTGCCACTACACCACCAGAGAAATGTTTATCGAGAGCTAATTTACATAGAATTCTAGACTGCGCATTAAATCGCCACTCGCCTCGCCAGCAAACTAATTGGGGTTTTGTACTAGTAGGTTAAGATCAATTACTAATCAGGACTTCTCCGTCTTCTTGTGGCCCTCAGATACGAGAAGGGGTTTGAGGTGTATCGAAACATTTTATTTGTGTTCTTGGATGAAGCTTAAAACTCTAAAGTTTCGCCCTCCATCCCTTAGAAACCCGAGTTCCCTCCCAAATTCGGAATCCTCTTGAAAACTGTATACACTATGAAAGTCTAGAACTGCAGTTATATCTGGTAGACAGTTAAAGTCAAGAATTCAATAGAAAAACTGCTTTGAGGGATAATTTCCCGTGCAACCTTGTTGAACTAACCAGTCTACCCTACAGCCGCCGTGTCCACTGACCTTAATCAGATGTTTCTTCTCGACGATAGTCGTAATTCGTAATAACTTCGTATAGCATACATTATGATAGCTACCTGCAGGCTTCTATAGTTACGCGTTTTAGTGGCTAGCTCGCAGGGTTAATCTGGTTGGGGGGGCAGTAGCGGTACCTCTCTCCATGCCAACTCCAGTTAGTGAGTGGCCTAGAGGCATGTACTTTTCTGATCTGATTATACTACAAACAGACAACATTGTGTGAAGAAGTGACACAGTGGATGAAACGCTCATAGCGTGGTTAACTCTAGAAAGACTGACTCAAAAGCAATGATGGCTTGTGGCGATGACCGTAAGGAGACGAGCGATTCCGCCTTAAGTCATTTAAGCGCGGAATGGCTGAATAAGGCGTATAGTTTGTGAGAGTTCACTACGGCGACTGCATCACAACCCTAGTCGATATTTTTTTTTGAGAATTGATTTTCACAACCCTCCACCTTGCGATTTTTTGACGATTTTGATATAAGCCCCCTGTTATTTTTTTGTGGCATTAAGAATAAAAATTATATCCTTTGGAGGGATGCACTCAAATAGGGCCACATGCGTGAAACATAAGGCCGATGTCATAGTTTGCGAATCGAGCGATTCGCTAGCGAATCGCTCGATCCGAGCGTTGCGCCAGCGAATCGAACGTTGCACCAGCGAATCGAACTTTGCGCCAGCGAGTCGAACGATGTACCAGCGAGTCGAACTAGGTACCAGCGACTCAATAGTGGCGGGACCCAACGTTTAAAGGAAGCCCGCCACTTTCAAACAGTGTCACTAAAACAGTGCCGCTGTTTAGAAAGCTGGCCCGCGATTTTGTCACGTGACACTGTTTGAAGGGGCGGGCTTCCTTTAAACGTTGGGTCCCGCCACTATTGAGTCGCTGGTACCTAGTTCGACTCGCTGGTACATCGTTCGACTCGCTGGCGCAAAGTTCGATTCGCTGGTGCAACGTTCGATTCGCTGGCGCAACGCTCGGATCGAGCGATTCGCTAGCGAATCGCTCGATTCGCAAACTATGACATCGGCCTAATATAAACACATTCAATTATATGGAAGTTATTTTAGCGGAAAGAATCTGTCTGAAAAACTGGTCTCATGCACTAAGGGAGGGCATGTGGTGCTGCAGTTCTTGCCGGATTCAGAAATTCCATTTTTCGCAAGGGTAGGAAAATCCTAGGTGCGTGGACCATTTCGCTTAAACTTAACATCCACCCCGTAGCTTCCACTCTCCTGCAAAAAAGTGGATAACGTCACGCGATGTGAACTGTCGCACCACATCCCCCTCCCCTTACCGTATGAGGCCCAAAATCCCGATAGGTGCAATAATAGGTGTAATAATAGTAGAGGTTGCAAAGGGATGGAAATGCGTATTGATCGCGTTTTGAATGTGCTGAGTGGCGCCTAATGGCGTCCTGACGATGGAGCGCGTCTGCTGACCGCTGCCGCGAAAAACTGTCGTTCTGAAATCTAGGCGACTTTTCTTCGTTGAATTTTCAGGTAGTGGAAGAAGGTGGTGGATTTGGATTCAGCGAGGCTCAGCCTTTCTAACTAAACCTGAATTGTTATCAAAAAATTTGAAATGAATAAGTTATTAAGCAAAAAATAAAATTGCAATTCAATTTTTACATGTCCTCTTCTGAGGGCTGACAGCCTCACTTCAAATAATGCAAGCTTATGCGCCAAAGGTACGATGGGAGTGTTGAAAAATTCAAAAACATTCCTCTCTCCGAATCATGTTCTAGATTTTCGCTTCACATTTAATTTAATGAAAACTTCTAGCAGGTGAACTTCTGCCACATGACGACTTTTCAACCTTCAAACGATCATAACTTTGTTCATTCATTTGGGAAGTTGAACACGGTATGGACTCAAGCTTCTAAAAGGTACCCGAACGTTCCTGAAAAGTGATCAGTTCAAAAAAATTTTTACAGGGGCATTCTTCAAGCCATTTTCTTGAAAACGCGGGTTTTTTAGGTTTCACTGGCCGTAACCTCCAGGGAAAGCAATTTCATGTTGAACATAGGATGTGTTAGAAAGCTTCGAGCATGCGCTTGCACTGGCATCCCTGCCTTGGTGTGCGCCACGCCTCGGCGCGCTTCTGATTCGCTGATTCATTTGAAAGCTCATTTAGAAGGAAGCGTGGGTTTATAGATGCTATAGTATAGTGCTGCTGTTTCTGCAAGTCTTCCTCTTCATGACTGCGTCTATGCGGGGAGAGGGCTTTGCATAATTGCATAAGACACATTGAACCCACTGCCGGCCACCGAGAGAGTACGACCCCCTAAAACCTAAACCAAGTACGACCCCCTCGTTGGTACTTGTCCCAACATAGAGTTGACCCTGACTGCAGGTAATGTGCACCAATGCCGTCTAGACGCATCATCGAAACTGCCCCATCCAGCAGCCATCGTATCCACTGCCTTCCAAATAATCGTCCAGGAGAAAATAATGATTCTATCTCACACACAAACCAGTAGCTTGAGACTTATCGTTCACTATGTATAAGGCAGAGAAGAACAAAAAAGGCAGAAAAGAACAAAAATGCTTTGTTTTGGCAAGCAGTTCGAAAAACCCGGAGGACTGTCACGCGTTTCAATTCCCGCCATACATCTATCACAAATGTTGGCAATGGGAACGATTCCTTCAATCGCTCTGCTCCCATTCTCCAAATTTAAACGCTTGACCTGGTTCTTGCAACTTGTCGCCTGATACGTGGCCGTCCCAATGCGCACTTCTTTCAATACGTTCCTTTGTCTCCGCCCGACCTACCCGCGACCGTCCCCAGATTACGGTTTTATAGGTTTGCCTCTTCGGAAACCGAATCATCTTGAGTAAAACTTTGTAAATTGTGTGTCCTCACCCCGTGGAATGATTCCCTCAAGCAGGTTTGTTAAAGCGGCTTTAAAAGTACGAGTCGAAATCGAGTTGATGCCCTGATTTGATTTTTTTTCGAAAATTAGACAAAAAGGGCCGTGAGGAGCACTAGTGGGGAGAAAAAGCAAAAAGCACCATAGAAAACACTACTTTGTGGACCGGCGCCGTGCATGACGGAAGAGGACATGCGCTTAGGAAGAGTTGAACGTGACGTGTTAGGTTGCGATCGTATGCGAGAGGCGCAAGCACCTCTCTGGCGGATTGCCTGGGGCACTCGGGCAGGACAACCAGGGTCAAGCGTGCGTTGAGGAATCCTCGACACGTCGCAGGGGGGGGGGTCGTATTGGCCCGCTGGGTGGAAGAGATCGAGCCATTTTGATGCAGTGGGATCATCACCGTCGGAAGACAAATATCAAGGATGAGTCGATGCCAGGCCAGAGGATTTCCAATGAAAATGATATTTCACCCACACAAAATTTTCGTGATTCTGAGGCGTCCGGTAATTCTTAGTTACTTCAGTGTTTTATCACCACACAAGTTAAAGAATCTGAATTTCGCACGCTTTCCAAGAGATATTTCATCTTTCAAGTAAGACCCCGAATCTGAAGGGATGTGAGGTACACGGCGCATCCGAGAAAGGGTCTAGTTGTTGCGCGCGCTTCAACTACGGCTCCTTGGACAAACAACCTCAATTCAGGAACAATCGAGAGAATTCTGAAAGTGTCCGTGCGCATTTACAGGGAGGTGTACACCATTCAACATTGCGTTAACGGACTCTTCAGGGTTAAATTTATAAACATGTAACCTTTAAAGTTGAGAAACGCTAATCAATCACTTTTCTTAGAGAGAAAAGCAGTGATTCCAAATCTGCTCTTACTTTAGTACATAATCGCCCTTAAAAGGATATACAGCCGTTGAAATAGTGCCAATGTAGCGAAAAAGTACCTTTCGGCGGTACTCGTGCGAAAATCCTCAACGTAGCCGTTTTTTTAATACTGGACGTTTGGAGCAGTTCTAGTAAGCATTTGATAGAGCAAATCTTCTAGTTTATGATGGCGTATTTACTTTTCGGATTGGATGAGTTTGAACGGAGTTATGGCTTTAGGAAGTAAAAAACTCGCACTCATCACAAATTTTCCTCGTTAATTTTGCAAAATCCTCAACGTGGCCATTTTTTGAATACTGGACGTATAGAAGCTGCTTTAGCAACGGTTTGGTAGAGAAAATCTTCTAGTTTTGTCTGCCATATTAACTTTTCGAATTTGACGAAAATGAAGCAAGTTATTGCTTCGGAAAGTGTAAAAACTCGTGCTCATCTCGAATTTTCCTCGTTAATTGACCTAAATTTGTTATTTCTTATAACTTTTTGTAATTTCAATACTGATTAGAAAAAGCTCTTCACAAAACTCCCAAATCTGCTTTCAGATTGAAAATTCGTCATTTGAAGAAAGTTATAATCATTTGAATATTTGTTCAAATTTCAATAGTAAATAAGCTGCTCCACGGTCAACGCCAAAGTCCAGTCAACACACAGCTGGCGAAGGCGGTTAAAGCTTCTTTCAACTGAAGGGCTACGTGCAAATTGAGAACCACAATCTGTGTAGTACTAGAATTTGGTAAGTCTTGTGGAGGAAATAAATAAAGAAGAGATGTTGTCATAGTATGCCATTTTTAGTGGCTAGTTTGTCGTTTTTTGGTCTGTTTCTCGTTTGCTCGTTGGTAGGACTCATCAATAATGATTATTCTTTGACTTTTTCACTTTTGTACTTCTTAAACGAATTTTTTTGTGGACGGTGGGGTAGCAGGGCTTTTTTATGAGCAGTTTTGGGGGAGAATTAAACAACTTTTCATAGTTCGGCTTTTGAAGAGGGTTGTTTCATGGACTTCGGCCTTCGGCGGAGGGAGGGGGGGGGGTCGTATTTCCAAATTTTCCTCGACGCCTCGCTTGACCCTGGTCCCCAATTTAGAGCGGTGCCTCACATGAGTCGCGACAGTGTCGCACCTCCTGCGCTTGGGGACCTCTCTTCCTCACTCTAGGAGGGAAAGGCTCTTGGGAGCTGATCCCCACTCGTGGCTTTAGTGAACAGCCACCTCCTCTGATTGCAGAATGCCGAAATTTCACTTAACACTACTAAAACCCACTCCTTCAACTCCACATCTGTGACTGATCAGAAGATATGGGTCCAGTAGACTGAGTTCTTCACCAAAACCGGATATCTTGAAATGTCCATTGTGATCGGTTGTCACTATGGCAAGTGCTTTGTCGGCAACTGAAATAAGTTTCCGATGAATATAATGCTCTATGGAGAACAAAGCACGACACTTTATGAGCAGGCCAACGCCTTTCTTTGCTGCTACGGTCTCAACTGGAAGGTGAGTGCATGGCGTATCGTGAAAAGTTTGGGGATCATCTAACGCTTCATGTCACGCCCCAGTCTGCCAATGTCAATCATGCAATCAATCATGTCACTGCAACCCATGAAGAGAAATTTTATTTCCTGCTGCTGAGCTGGGGCTCGTGAAAAATAGTTGACAGTTTTAGGCTTTTGTTGGACAACTCGAAGTCTGGGTTTTTGCCAGAGGATAGCAGGAGTTTACTCTTCTACATGAGTGAACGTCAACATTCATAAAAGCATAAGATTTCTGTGAGTCATGGAACGCTCAGTTCAGAATTCATAGCATGAAAGCTCTGAATCTTCTTGAGTGTTCCGAGGTATCCACTACACTAAACAAAACTTACAGATTTCTTCGTCCATGAGCTTGACTACGACATTGGATGCAGGTAGTTCACCACAAAATAAAGTTCCTGTGGCTCCCGTCGCCTGATTAAGGTCCCAAAATAAAAATCCATAGGCTTCTTGCAGCAGGATAAGAAAGATCGCGCCATATTTCTGCATCGTCAATGCTTTTGTCCTGAAATTAGACAACTTCTCAAGGATCTTGAGTATCTTCGAAAATGCTGCTCTATATGTATGAGCTCATAAGGCTTGAAGGCAGAGTTTAGAATGAAAATGCAGCCTATTAGAATTCAAGGTGCAGGTGGTTGATGCAAGAATGAAGGAAAAACCATGGGAAAACGCTTAAAACCGAAGGAATGGGACCCCCTCTCAGCCCCTTCATTTCCACAAGTTTAATCGAGCTGCTCTCTTAACACGTTGACGGCAGTTCTGCGCATGCGCGTCAGAATATTTAGCTTCATTTTTATTGTGCTTGCGCTCCTTCTTCTCGAGTTTTTTGTATTCATTCTATAGATAATACGTCAACAGAACTATGAACCAGCCAGAGTGGTCGAATATCCCTTGATTTAGCAAAAATTTTCTAAAACGCCCAAAACTTTCACTTCAATTTTTTCCTAGTATTCTTTTTCACTGTGTGAACATTATATGAAAGAGATTGTAGAAGCAGTTGAATACAAAACTCTGTGAGTTTCAATATATTTGATTTGATGGAAGAACTTAGATATAAATGCTTTTAACTTCATTCGCAGCGAAAGTGATGTTTTTTTTGCTTCTTCGTGGTCATTATGCGTTCTTCTAAACAAAAATCTACTGCTATTTATACAGTTAACCTTTATGCTTTCATCCTTGCCGAAATAATTCTATGAGATTCAGTTGTTGTGCATTTTAACAAAAAATAAGCGGAAGTAAGGTGAGGACGGCGCGCTCGCAAAATCGCTCCTGTACCACGCGGTGCAAAATGCCAAAACACGCGATGTCGTCAACGTGTTAAACGCCAGCACACTTTCGCGAAATGCTAGAGTCAGATGGCCAGGGGTGGGGGGGGGCAGCGGCACGAATGGCGCTGTCCTGGGACTAGCTATATATCCTCTTCTGCGATCAGCAGCACTCTCCTTGCGGTCCTCTTTCGAATCACGGAATCCAATCTAATCGTGGAGTCCTCTTTTCATCGACCAATCCCTTCTTGCGACGTGTTACGCGCGAGTCTTCATAATCTCAAAGACACCTGAAGGCACCGTATGCAACTGAATTGGGAGATCATTGAACCGTCGACGAATGAAGTCAAAAACTGGGAACTATCAGTAATGAAGCAGACGAAGAATGCGAGGAACCCTGCGATCAAACAATGCGCGTGATCGTGGGATCTGGATCTCGCGCCACTTTTGAGAATCCGATTACTTTCTTATCTTTATAATAGCTGGTAAATTAATAAATAAAACGAAACAAGAAGCTAGACGAAGGGGCCTGTGCGAAATCCCTGTTACGTGGTAAAAGCGTACCGTATACAGTTTGCAAATCAAACGGATGAAGTTCTGAGTGTAGCTTTTGAGCATTTGATTGTATTGATACGATGTCCATTCTTTAATTTTACCGCTCGAAATTTATTTAGTTTGGATTGTTCAAGCCTTTAGCTCTGAATGAAATAACAGCCCGCTTGCTTCGTCGAGGTGTCTGGTGGTGTTACGCTGCAAAGCGAATCAAGACTATCAAGAACCTGCAACAACCACCATTGCGAAGATCAATCGACGCGTGATAGAAACGATCGGGTTGGACGTGGGAGAGAAGCTTCTGCTGTTACCAAAAACAATATTGCAGCCGCGAAGCGGAAATGGAGTCAATAAGTTCGTTTGTCTCCCCGTGTTAGCGATCAGGTGCACTTCTTTGCAAGTAATCGTCAGAGGAAATCCCATGGCCAAGACAGGTAAGCGTCGAAAAGATCAGGTCTTCAATGGGGCGAGTAAACTGATAGGGAAATGGAGCTAGACGGATACGTTTGTCTCAATTCAATATTGCCAACCTTTTTCTCTGATTCGGAAGTACTCACAGTCGAGATAATCTTGCATAGATAGAGCGACAAAAACTGCATTTCAAACAAGCCAAAGCTCAATATCTTCAGACAGCTGAATTCGCGCAAACAGGTATTTGCGGAGAACTCAAGACTAGAAATCATGTCAACTTGTATATTCCCAAACTCTATCCTTACTTCAAACATTGCCTGAAAGGTGCGGCGAAGAAATAACAAACCTATGAATATTTCGATGTAGAGATTTATGCGTTAGAAGTGGCACGTAGAGTTTTCACCTCAAATTCTGCTTTTACGCTGCCTCGAGGGCGTTTATTTTGTTACCTGGTTTACATGTTCTAGGTTCATTCTGTGGAGAACGTCTATAGAACTTTCAACTCGAGACCCTGCTGTGTTTTTAATGACGATGTCTTCTGCTTCAAATTGTTCAAAGGCGAATTGAAAATGAAACTAAGCAGTCATTGGGTGTTTCAGACTCGCCATAGGCACACCAAAGTATGTTCTGTACTGCTTCCCGAACTGGCTAGAAAGCAACGAAGCGATGTTTCGCAAGTTGACCTGAAATCAACGGGGCGAGGTTAACAGCTCCTTGATTTTTTTGGGAAACGAAATGGCTTAAGGTGCTTTCCAAATGGAAGATTTCAAAGGCGTGAAATGTCAGCATTTTCAAAAGTAATTACCCAGACAAGATAGCTTCCCCTCTCACTCTTCTGTTACAAGCCGAGGAGGTCATCAAACTTCACTTGCACATGCGGTATTCTGTGGGGTATGATATGACGCTCCTACGCGCATCGAATAAACAAATAATAGAACCACATAGTTGACACGGTGAAGATGATGTGATGATGATGCATGGTGGAAGAGTTCGCCTATGTGGATTAACAATAAAACATACGCAACTGGACTGAAAGTTCCGGGCAAATATAACGGAATGCGATATTACGCCGTTTAAATGAATTGCTGCATCTGATTATTCTATAATACCAAGAATTGCAACATATTAATAAGCCTCCATGACATATGTAGATGCCATCAAAGCACAGTGTAGCTACTTGCAGTCAAAGTTTCTTGCCTTCTCTTTTGCCACGCGGATTACTTCTTGACCGTACTGAACCAGAATAATACTAGCAATTTATTGTTATGTCAACAGCGAATAATGTTTACGCACTACGTTAGCATAATGTCGCGTCCTGTCATGCGAAAAGGCTTTCTGTGATGGTTTGTTAGGGGCATCCTTCTTGAGCTTGTAGACGACGCACTCGATCAAGAACCATCCAAAGAGGGCTCACTCTAGTTCCGAAGCCCCGCTCTTATCAGCATTTTGCTGCTGGACGACCGGCACATCACAAGAAGCATGGTGCTAAGGTCCCTTTATAAGGAAGGTGGTTATGGAATGTGGCATTTCGTCTAAATATAAAGTACTATCCGAAAAGTCAACTCCGAAAAATTCGAAACCATTCCCGCTGTGCCCATTCAAGTATTTGTAACGGATCAAGGAAGTGTCACTTGATCACGACCAACATCTGGAATTTGGCTCAGCTTCTCCCACATCACGGCAGACCCTCTACCACTACACCCCCTAGCCAGGACGAAACGTTAGCGACCTGAAACCTGACACATCTATTCAAAATGTGAGCCTCAACACTGCTTTACTGGACACTCACTGCTTCCTTGCAGGAATCTTTGAAATGGAGGACTGTACCCATCAGAAGGGTTTCTTCCGGTATATTCCTACCCCGGTTTCCAACTGGTCCTTCTCCTAATAAATTGAATCTAGGATATGTACCTTAGCCACCTCTATATCCTGGACGCACGAATTCTAATTTGAATCAAAAGGTTGCCAGAATGATTTTTCATATAAAGAAGACTGAGAGAATGCAGCAATTTTCGTGAATGGAGTCAGTGTACTGATACACTGATACTGGTATCATTTACTGATATTTGAAGGGCAAGCTTTTGGATAAAATGGCGGGTGGCAGAAAAGCGCGTTTCAGGTATAAAGCTTTATTTGGAGGCGGTCTGGAAAAGAGAGGAATAGCAAGGAGAAAGAGCGCTTGGGAGTTATTTCACGAACCTAACTCTAGTTGCTCCAGTGCCAATGACATTGGATCGCAATGGGACCGCTGCCTCAAATGCGCCCGCGCTTTTCAAGCAGCGCCACGTGGCAACCGACAGCGGAGGGTGGGGCTTGCGGACGAAGGTGTGTTGCGGGCGAGCTCCTTGCGCCTTTGTCGCGCACTTTCAAGCCGCAAAAGGGGCGCGACATCAACGCTTGTCCGCCTGCCTACTACCCCCGGGGATGGAACAGGCGAGCGCGCCTAATCCCGGAGCGTGCCTTTAATTGTCTGGTAGAAGTTTCTTGAAGGGAAATGAAGCGAGAAGAACATAGCCGATGGAAATGAAAGGTAGCTTTAGTCAAAGGCGTGGGACGAAGAAAAAAACTAAGAGAAGCGGTCTAAAACCTCCAGAGGGGACTTCTGCTTAGCTTTGGACGAGTCGCATTGGTGCTGACGTCATCAACGTGGACGCTCTGCTCTGCCACACTGCTAACACGGATATGGTTTGACAACGACGGAGCAGCAGACGCGGTAGTCAGTCGGGCAGAAGAAAGAGGCGTCGTAAGGGAGGGGAAGGTTAAGCCAGGTTGGTGTGGGCGCGCCCTACGCTTGCAAAAGCCCCCATTACTCCCTCGCACAGACCTCTCTTCATATTCAGGAGCAGGGTCAAGCGAGGCGTCGAGGAAAATTTGGAAATACGACCCCCCCCTCCCCCAGAGGCCGAAGTCCATGAAACGACCCTCTTCAAAAGCCGAACTATGAAAAGGTTGTTTAATTCTCCCCAAAACTGTTCATAAAAAAGCCCTGCTACCCCACCGTCCACCAAAAAAGTCGTTTAAGAAGTACAAAAGTGAAAAAGTCAAAGAATGATCATTATTAATGAGTCCTACCAACAAATGGAGCAAAAGACAACGAACTAGTCATGAAAAAGGCAGACTATGGCAGCATCTCTTCTTCCTTTACTTTACTTGGAAAGCTTACCAAGTTTTAGCACTACACAGAGTATGCCCTCAACTTGCACTTCCACCTTTGAGTTTAAAAAGGCCTTGTCACCGCCGTAGCCAGCTACCCTTCGCCTT